TGGCTGATTGCTATTGATATTGTCACTTGTCATATCTACAACCCTTTTCGTTCCATCGATAATGACATTATAGATTGCGACTTATCGTCGAATTGTAACTTGCAAGTTGTAATATGTCGGGTGTCACAAATGAAGTATGAACTGGTAACTCTTCCGAAATACCTGAAATCATCCCTTGTTTTTGGTGGGGTTCGTGGTGTATAGTTTTACGTTAAGCGTTTAGTTGACTGTTGTTTGTCATGCCGATTTGTTTTCGTTTTGTTCGTGGTCCTTTTTACTTATGGTTTTTGATTGATCGCTGAATATTTTTTACATCTATTTTCTCGGACATAGTGTTGACCTCAAACAACATTCATTTGTACAATGCGCCCCAGACTTGAATATATGTACATTTATCACTAGTGTGACATTTAAGATTTTATCAATATTTTAAATTACAAATGTACATTTCCGTGACGACGTCCAGAAAACAACACTGACGTGATTGAACTATCTTTCATCTTTATAGTACACTCGTAATGTTTTTGTTCATAATTATTTCAAAAGAATTTGTTTTCTGGTTTACGGGAAATATTTAAATTTCAATCATGTCCAAATCGTCAATTGCAAATGCATTATTCGTCCCTTACTTGCTATCATTAAGAAAATATCATTATATCTAATTAGTTATGTCGCAAATTAGAAGATATATATTTAGAAATGTTTCCTTTGTTTAACAGTTTAATCGTACTACTAGGTGTAGAAAATATCTCTCAGATCTGATTAAAATATTATTATTATGAAATACATAAAAGTTAGAAGAGGTGGTATGGTTGCTATTGCGACAACTCTCAACCAGAGACCGAATGACAAAAGAATAAGATTATTCAAAGGAATACGTTTACCCGGAACGTATCTAAATTTCCGGGCTCGGCTAACATCATCTCCTTAAACATTAGGATGTTCTACCCCGTGTGACATGAGTTTTCCAAAGGGACAGACAACCTTCCTAACCAAATCTTTGTATCTATGGGAGGATTTAGTAAACGTTTTAAGTAATTTGTGGTAACCAAATCCCTGACTTAACAATTTACAAGTAATACATAGATTACGTTCATTGAAATCCAAAACATAGCGAGCGAGTTGTGATATATACTGTAAACACCTTAACATGGTGCCAAAGGAAACTTACCTTTTGAAAAAAAGGACCAGAATATCGTCCTCCATCTAAAATAGATTGTGAACAGTATCGTCAGGTCACAAAAGACCCTTTTTCATCGTATTGTAAAAATTTGTGTACACCGGGAAAATCTGATAAAGAGTCTCTTGATTCTTATTTAAATAAATGTATGAATGTTGTGGATATTCGAATATCACATTCTGAAAATAATTCAGAGTACATAATACGCCTATTTCTAGAATAAGAAATAAATTTCAAGAACTTTCAAATCGGTTTGTGTTTGTTCAAGTCGACAAGGCAGCCAACAATGTGGTGATTGTATGCCGTAAATACTACACGGACATTCCTAAAAACTTAAAATTCCTTCAAGTCCGTGCACTCCACAGAGAGTCATATAGTAAACAGACATATCATAACCAAATCACAGCTGAAGGCCTCTTCTGAACATTTGAAGGTTCCTACTATGCATTGGTTACCTAAACTTTACAAAAAACCAGTAAAATATCGTTTCATCTCGGCTTCTATTAAGTGTTCTACAACTAATCGTTCAGTGCTTTTAACTAGTTCCTTAAATACTATCAATGAATTTATATATGAAATAGTGGAATTACCTATTTTGGAGTGTAAAAAATTCTTTGGATGTTTTCGATAAATTACGTGCTTTTGATGGTCCTTTTGATTCTGTTGCCATTTTTGACTTTTCAACTCTTTACACTACACTTCTACACAATCTTATCAAACAAAAGTTTTCCTATTTAATTGAATGGTCGTTTAGTAAATCTGAATGGAAATATAGTTGCTGCAACTCATTTAAAGCCTTCTTCTCTAATGAGAAAGGTAAATATGCTAGATATACTTACTGGATGTGTGATGAGATGATTGAAGCTGTTAATTTTCCCCTTGATAATATTTATGTTCGTTTCGGCAACAAAGTTTATCGACAGGTTTTAGGTATTCCTATCGGCACTAATTGCGGCCCTTTAATAGCAGACTTTTTTTTTGTACTGTTATGAATCTCAGTTTATGACCAAACTCAGTAAAGACACGTCAAAATTGCATTTAATTGATAAATTCAACAAAACTTACCGTTATCTTGATGATATTTTTTCGTTAAATAATCAAGAATTTCCAAATATACTGCCGAAATTTACCTAAAGGAACTTACTTTAAATAAATCAAATATAAACGGTAATAACTGTCCTTTCCTAGATTTAGATATTTCAGTTTTACACGGGAAACTCCACACTAAAATTTACGACAAAAAGGACGACTTTCATTTCCCTATTGTAAATTTTTTCTATTTTTTTTGGATGGTGATGTTCCTTTGGCACCATCTTACGGTGTTTATATATCACAACCCGTTCGCTATGCTCGTGTCTGTTGTGACGTTTTGTATTCTAAAGAAAGTAATCTATATATTACTGGTAAATTATTAAGTCAGAGATTTCGTTACCACAAATTACTTAACACCTTTACTCAATTCTTCCATAGATATAAAGATTTGGTTTTGAAGTTTGGTTGTACCTGTAGAAAACTTATTTCAAACGGGATAGCACATTCCACTTTTTTTGGAGATGTTGTTTACCGTGCCCGTGAATTTAGATCCTGGTAAACTTATCGATCTATTAAATAAACTTATTCTAAAAGGTTATCAATTCGACTATGTAATTAGATCTTTGAATATTGTATTTATTGGTATTAATATTGATTTTGTTATTAGTAAATTAAAATCAAACTATCAATTCCACACTGTAATTAGATCTTTGAATATTGTTTTTATTGGTATTAATATTGATTTTGTTATCAGTAAATTAAAAGTAAACTAAATATTATGGTTATATTCATATGCACATTCATGGTTCTACAATCTGTAGATACCTATATCTTGGCATTGTGCAAGATCATGTTTTTCTCTGACTGTTTATGACGTCTTTACACTAAATTCATTGGATGTTGGATGTGTACTGATTGATTATTTAGTCTTAGATGCATGATTTTTTTTTATTAGTTGTTATTGGCTTTAAACTAGCTGAGTACTCTCAGATCTGTACTTTGTGTCTGTTTGTTGTTGGGATGTACAAGTCCCCGGCCACATGCACTCTGTGTTTTTGTTAGAAGTATTTTTATATTTTGTTTCCATCTGATGAGCTAAGCCTTTTCCAACTGCGGTATGGGATTTGCTCATTGTTGGATGCCGTACGGTGACCTATAACTGTGTTATTTTAGTCTCTTGTGAAGAGTTGTCTCAATGGCAATCATACCACATCTTCTTGTGTATAATCACCATCCAAAAAAAAGATAATTAACAATAAAGTCGTCCCTTTTGTCGTACATTATTTAGTAGAGTTTCCCGTGTAAAACTGAAATATTTAAATCTAGGAAAGGACAGTAATTACCGTTTATATTTGAGTTATTTAAAGTAAGTTCCTATGGGTAAATTTCGGCAGAGTATTCAGAAAATTCTTGATTATTTAAAGAAAAAATATCATCAAAATAACGGTAAGTGTTGTTAAATTTATCAATTAAATGCAATCTAAAAGGGGTTACTGAGCATGAAGGATAAGACACAAGCTTAACAAACTTTAGAATATCTTCTCAATATGTATAATACGATATATACAAACCGATGAATCAGTGACCTTTCAATAAATCCTATGGCTCATATGGGAGTCCCTGAATGTTAATCGGGTCGATATGGAAGAGGCCAAGTATTAATCTGATAATCAAGTACCTCCGATATATGAACGCAATTAGGTTGATAAACCAAGATCAGTCTGCCCACTTGATATCAGGCAGGGCTTATATGTGTTTAAAGTATAATACAACCATTGTTTTTTCCCTATTAGTCGTTGTTAAATTTGCACTTTTCAAAAGATTGTGCAGAATTTATCTTTGTATCAAATAAAGAAATACTTGGCATGAGTAAAGTTTTATCCTGTCCAGTACTACAGACAAAATTTCACATAACATTTCATTGCATATAAGATGATAACCATCACTGGAAGTTAACCAATCAAATGTTCACCCCTTTTTTCCTGTGTTCAAGCTTTAGTAACCATGTAACCTCAAGTTTCCAAAATATTCTATCGAAACACCAAATAAAAAAAAATGGTCCTTTGAAAAACCCAAGATATATGTCTATGACTCAGAATCATTTTTATTGCAATGAAATGTAGGATTAATTTCCTACAACTGTCAGATTCATGGGAATATATTTTTTGACACGTTTTCGTATGCAACCAGAGGTGACGTACTATGATTTAATGGTATTACACCTTGATCAGTTTGGTTACCTTTGAACAGTACAACAGATCACATAAACCACTAACCAAGACTCCTCTGAAAGTATAAAACATACTAACAAAGACAAACAATAACCAAAAATATATGGTTTAGTTAACTAGGTACACGCCCATTAGTATATGGCTAAATCCATTTGAACCATACGATTATATCTTAACTCAGATTTTCGATTCTACAGTAATGATGGTTAATTCATATTGCAAAATTATTATTTTCAGGTAGAAGATTCCGGCAAAACACCAAAGATACCAAGTTTATTATTTGATTCGACGTCATTGTTTTTCATCTTCAAAGGAAATATATTGTTGTTATACACAGTCATGGTGCATAGTTTAACTGTTTCGTGGCGTTCTTTATCTAGCATGCATTTACAGCTGAAGAAACGCTTACCGTTCAAATGTATTCGTTGTATTACTTTTAGCAACTATTTATTCCATTGATACACAATGAAATATGTAATGGTCTTCGTTCAATAACATTGCGTCATATTGTGATCACTTAACGAGAAATTTTCTTAAGATTTCAAGTAAAAAACGAGTATGCATCAGTAAAATATATTTTTGATTTTCAAAACTTTGTACAAATATTCAGTTTTCTAACTAGTGATATTTTTTATTTATTTCTAAGTAATTGTTTCTCGCAAACAACCCGATTTTGATTGCTGCAACTATCACCCTCCCAATTTCCATACATAGTAGATGATTTGACACATGAATTATTATCTGTTTTGGGTTCATCTATACCCCAGGCGAGGTACGTAGGATGACTGCCATCTATCCATCTGTATGTCTGATTCCTTTGTTTCTGTAATCCAATCCAAAAATCAGCACCTTGGTGTTTAGAAGTTTGACTTAATATGAAATTATATTCCTCTTTAGACCCAATGAAAACTAAATCTGAACCATTGTTCCTACAAAATGTACGGGCCTCTGTAAAATCAACAACAAGTAATGTATCATATGAATAACAAGAATTATTGTAATATATCCAATCCCCAGGCCCACATCTTGGATGAATTTGCATTTTGCATATAAATCTCAACGACATAAAACAGTTGTTGTCATTCCACTTTCTAGGGTTTAAACTAAAAAGGTGTGTGCAGTTCTCGTTATTATTGAAGTTATTCGGTTCGTTTTTTCCCCAATCAGTATAATTCAAAATTGTTTCGTCACTCCAGACATACTTCCCATTGTTTTGAAAATTGTTGAGTCCTAACCACTGAAAAGTCTGTGTAAAATAAGTAATTAGAAAATTGGTTTCCCTTTCGTTATGAACACTAACTAGATCAGTTCCGATACTTCGACAATAATCACGTGCCTGAAACCATGTTCGACGTTCTGAAAATTCTTTATAACACCACACATCGAATGTCTTCCAGTCATTTGGACATTTTGTCCTAATTTCTGATACCCGAAAACCTGAATTTCCTCTGTTGTTAGATTTAAAACATACTTCTGTATTATAGCGAGACTGAATCACAATGTACGTCAGCCCAGCTACTAATCCTATGATAATAACAGTAGTGAATGCTATCCAAAATTTGATTTTCACATCTTTGCATACATAATTTGGTTTAGGATCTGGTTGAGGTTCAAAATATGAGTGATACGATCTTGATGGTTTTAAGTCATCATACTTTCGATAATCACCTGAAATGGATGCAAGTTGTGTATATACTCTCTCTTCAGTAGGTTCGTCGTATGTATGATCATTAGCATTCATCATAATTCAAGTTTTATTATCAATAAAATGTGGACAGATTGTCGTCAATGAAAAGTATCCTTTATAAAGTAACAAAGTTTTTCACGCCCGGATACACATTTACATATTTGTACTTTAATGATAACTGGTGAAGACTGGATTTATGAATCATCTCGCATAACGTATTTTTCATTGTGTGACAAAGTCAGGAAATCGAATACAACTTATACTTGACAAAGATATACGACATATCCGTAATAAATAAATTCATTTGTAATGTTTTTGATTTCTGCTATTTTCTAGTTTAAACGTTCTGTCTGTTAAACGGGAGGAGGTACTCCTATTTAAACCATGTTCATTCACCAGAACAATAAGTTATAAGTCCTGTACTAGTTAGTGGGGGATTGAATGCCATTGAAGAGTCTTATGCAAACAAATCACGATTCTGGTGTAATGATTTAATAGTCTGGTATCTGTGATAAGTTTTATCAAGTATCAAAAAAGAATCAGTTTCACAACTGGATGAGTTTTACTTGTAGAACAAGATGACTGATTGGTTGATTGATATGTAACTGCTTAACGTCGCATCAGCACAAAACACTTTTACACTTTTTCCTCGTTGAAGTTGTTCGAATTTGGAATCCCCCCCCTCTCTCTCTCTCTCTCTCTCTCTCTCTCTCTCTCTCTCTCTCTCTCTCTCTCTCTCTCTCTCTCTCTCTCTCTCTCTCTCTCTCTCTCTCTCTCTCTTACTCAAGTAAAAATCAGTAAAGTCAAACATTTCATATTTACAAAAAGCTGTCCTACACAAATAAAACAATCTGCAATTACCATGATGTATTTTCAAACATTTTTTATTGTGAACAAACAAACCAAACACATTTATGATATAGCTATGATAATCATAGATCATTTCACTCATATAAAATAATTCGAAAGACGTGGTACGGTAAGTCAACCTAAAGTTCGTCAAAAAAATTTATCAAATAAAATATTCCAAACGATCATAACATCTCCATACTTTATAAGCCACTTACATACTTGAAGACCCTTTGGTGGCCTTCGTCTGTTTTCTGCTGTTTGGTCGGGTTGTTGTCTCTTTGACACATTTCCCATTTCCATTCTCAATGTTATTGCTTTAGTGCTTCAAACTTCTTGTATTTAACATTGGTATAAAAATAATAAGATGTGGTGTGATTGCCAATGAGACAACTCCCAACCAGAAACCAACTAACAAAGAAGTTAACAACAGTTACTATAGGTCATCGTAAGGCCTTCCACAATGAACAAAACCCATACCCCATAGTCAACTATAAAAGGACCCGAAATGACTAATGTAAATCAATTCAGACAAGAAAACAATCGGCCTGATTGATGTACAAAACAATAAACCAAAAACCAAATATGATATACAGCAACAAACGACAACCACTCAATAACAGGCACATACAGAGTATGGCAGGGTTAAACATATTTGCGGGCGCCCAACCATACCCCTAACCTGGGACAATAGTGTAACAGCACCACATGTGAACAACTATACAAATCAATTGAAAAGGGCTTGACTCATCAGATCAATACAAAGCAGAAAAACAAGGAACAAAAACACAGACTGGACGTGGCAGGTTATTTACACATCCCCGCAAAAAAAAATACACTTACTGACTACTAGTTCAAAACCTATTTCAACTAATAAAAACATCATGTATCTAAAATATCAATCAGTACACATTCAACATCCAAAAGATTTAGTATAAAGACGTCATTTAGAGTGAAAAGCATGACCTTGATCCCAAAATTGTTATGATCTTCGAATAGTACAAGGATTTTCTATTTAGAATAAAACAATAGCTTCAAATATCCCCCGTTTTGAAAAGGTGTGAGTTTACTGTCGATTCAGTTTGTTTTGATGGATATTATTGTCATGGATTCAGACAAAATTGAATTTTCAGGGATATTTGATTTCGTGTTTTTGCTAATTATAAAGTCTGCATATAAGCCAAAATAAATTTGGTACTTCGTTAAACATTGAAACTCGTGGTTTACTTATACCAACGAAATCAACAAAATTAGTATCCAACGGATAAAAATGAACAACCAGTATGTGCAAGCAAACCATTTTAGCTCAAAAAGACCTTTGAAAAAATGGTCTTCTCTGAAAACATCTGTTCCATATAGACCAAGCTTAGAATATACAGTTTAAAAATTGTGTCGATTATTCAAAAACATGACTGTCGTGTCTAAAAATAGATATAATTGTAAAATGCAAGTAATTGTCTTAAATTGTCTTGAAGAACTGTCACGGTACATTGTGTCATAGTAAAGAAATTCTCGTAAGGTAAAAATTGCTCAGAATTTCAAGATCTAATAACATCTATTAAGGCTAAACATTTCAAATTTTATAGTTATTGCCATTAAATGATTTATTTTTACAAATAAAGCATTTTAGTATCACCTTGGAACAGCAAAAATAATCAGCTATTCAATCTTTGAAAATGAATATTTTGATTAATTTTCTCAACGAATATTGAAATCTCCATATTAATATTTATGATTGTTTGATTTTGTTCATGATCACTATTATATTATAATAACAGATAAGCAGAAAGTATAGACAGCAGTAACAAGACCAGCATGAGAAAATCTTCAAACAAGTAACTGTGACTGGAATTGGTTATTCGTTCTTAAAAGATTTATTGCCCTTACATGACGATTTTTTACTTATTGCCATGAATTTACCTATTCAAAAAATACTATCTTGAAAACTATATAAGATCAAAAGAAATTTGCAGAAGTAAAAAAGATCAGATGTACAAGATCTACAAATAAATTAAATGATTAAAATCGTAAATCAATCCTTTAGAAGAGTCATTGTCCTAAAAAGACAGGCGAACAATACCGACGGGATAAATGATGCGCTCGTAATATGGCGGGTGCCACTGGTGAAGTAGAAACTGTTTACCCTTCCGGAAGACCTCTGGTTTTGGGTGAGATTGTTGTTGTTCAATCTGTAATTTTATATAATGTGTTTAGTAGACTGATATTTATTTATGGCGTCGTCGTTTTTCTTTTGTCTGTAGTGTCTTTTTTTACTTATGGTTTTTAATTGACCCCATGGTATTTTTTTCATCTATTTTCTCAGACAGAGTTTTGAACTTGAATTATAACAACTTTTATTTGTATAATGCGCCTCAGATTATCATATCATAATACCTAGAGTGACTATTAGGATTTTGTCAACATTTCAAATTATAAGTTTTCATTTCCGTGACGACGTCCGGACAAACAATACTGACGTATATGACCTATCTCTCATGATATTGATACATATACTTTAAAAGTAATTGTTTCTCACAAATACAACTATTTTTGTTTATGCAATAATCATCGTACCAGTTTCTCCACATGGAAGATATGTGCTACATGTAATATGTTTCATCATAGTTTCATCTGAACACAATGACTAGTAAACAGGTTTAGTTCCATCTATTTATCTGTATGATGGTTTTTAAATTTCTTATATTCAATCTAAAATTAGTGCCTGATTGCTTCGTTATTTGGCGTATTATGAAGTTGTATTCCTCTTTCGAACCAATGATTTGTACTATTGTCCTTACAGAAGCTATAGGCACCAGTTAAGTTAACATATGCCGGAGCAACTTTATAACACGTATTATTGTAATAAACCCATCAACCAGACCCACATCTCCGAATTATTCGCCTTTTGTTTTTGTAGCAGTTCAGTGTTTCTGTTATTCCGTTGTTTCCTCTTATAGTTGATATGTTTCCCTCGGTTTTGGTTTGTGACCCGGATTTGTTTTCGCTTAATCGATTTATGACTATTGAACAGCGATATACTTCTGTTGTCTTTATTTTGCATATAAATATGAATGCAATAAATCAGTTTTTGTCATTTCATTTTCCATATATTGCGTCATGTAGAAAGGTGTGTAGAGTGTGTAGTTATTATATAAGTTGTTCGGTTCAAATGAATTCTAATTAGTATCATCCAAAATAGTTCCATCGCTCCACTGACAAGTCGTTCAAATAATTATTTTCATAAGACAATTGATTTCCTCCTCATTATGGATACTAACTAGATCAGTTCCAATATTTCGACACGCACTTGAAAGTATGTTCGCCGTTTGTAACGTCTTTGTAACACCACCTTTTGAATTGTTCCAGACATTTGGAGATTTTGTATCAACTTCAGATATCCGAAAACGTTTACCGTCATTGTCATGATAATTGTTTGGACTGGTATTGTGAAAATAATTGTATGTAGTTCAAGATTACATATTCGTTACATAAGTGCGTCACTGTCTGTGATGTCCTGTGCTGTCTGTCGTTGATGGAAGATGTTCGTTGTTGTTCATCGGTTTGGATGTTATTCGACTATTATATTATCTGTTTGTGCGTTTCTCTGTGATGAGTGTTCTTGCGTGTGTTTGTGCTGTATTTCTGTCACGTAGTGTTGTCATTTTAGCGATATTTTTTAGCATTACCATACAAGCGGGAGGTTTGGCTAGCCATTAAACCAGGTTCAACCCACCATTTTTTCTTAAAATGTCCTGTACCAAGTCAGGAATATGGTAGTTGTTATCAAATATTTCGTTTCTATGTATGTTGGCGTTTGTTTTTGTTGCATTTCAGTGTTTCTGTTGTTCCTTTGTTTCCCTCTTATAGTTAATGTGTTTCCCTCGGTTTTAGTTTGTTTTCTCTCTATCGATTTATGACTTGAACAGCGGTATACTACTGTTGCCTTTATTTACCATTATTACCTTCATTAACGCTGCTCTAAGAATGAGTACAACATTTTATACTGTATCGAAATTTTAACAGAGCAGACGTCACTCCGGTTGTTATTGAACATGTACATATAATTATGGCAGTGAACGCTATGCATAGTCTTATACGAAATTTTTTATCAGATATGAATAATTTTACTTTCAAATACTAGCCCTTTTTTATTAAGAAAAATAAGTCCCAGTGTTAACTATCGCATCTCTTTTAAAACAAATACC